AGCATTTACAGACTGTTATATTGCACATAACTTTCTTTGCAGTCCCATTTGCTCACGCCCCTTTACTTTAGTAGCTGGGTTTTCCTGCCTTTGTAACTTCGTAGTAAGTAAACCACTGTAACCTGCAGTTCATAATCATATTACAATATATCAGTTGCTAAAGAGCCCCTTAAAATTAAGGGAGAAGGCTGCAAGGTTAACAGTTTATGCAAGACTTTGTCCAGTGCAGAACAGCTCCCCTTCTGAGAAGAAAGGACAACAAAACACATACAATACTATTTCAACTACACAAGGACTGTTGCAAATTACTGCTCTAAGGAGAGGGTGGTGAACTTCCCTATTTGAAAGTGAGTAGCACTACCTCTACCCTTTAGAAGTACTGCAGGACAGACCATGCTTTTGTACCGTTACTCTCAGCTCTGGAAGAGCTAGCAATCAAGTGGAATCACACGGGAAAACAGTCTCCTTCTGCACCCTCAACCTAAGCTAGGATCCTTTGGTGGTAATCCTTTAAGTCCTTGTGGTTCATCTTCCCTAGAAAGAGTTACTGTGTTTGTGTCTTTTTGAAGTTTGAGAGCAGTACCAAATCTGGCAAGCAGGCCTTGTGACTTTGTTTCAGATGGCCTGCAGGTGCACCATTGTCTAGTTTTTGTTGGAAAGAAGTATTAATTTTAGTGCTGCTAAGGAAAGCTTTAAGCAAAGAAATACTTATACTGCTGCTTTAAAGGGGGACTTGATTATTTTTTGATTCTGTTGCTCAGAGGTTACCTAGGCAGTGGTTTGGGTTAGCTGAGTGGAGAATCAAAGGGGAGCTCTGCTTTGGAACATCAGTACCAACTTACAAACATCCCTCAGCATCTCAGCTACAGCTGGGAAGCAAGGAAAACTATCTGCCTTACCTGCTCCTGCAGTTCATCTGGGGGCTTGAAGTGACTCAGTAAGGCACGCACCAATCCCTTCAGAACCAAATAGTTTGGAGTAACTCGAGGAAGCTTTTTAGCTTGGTCATCTGTCATTCACACCTGTTTCCTCTTAGGAGAGTCAAGTTGTTACACCTGTCCATTTGCCTACTGGGAATTCCTGCTCGTCTGGATGGGGAGGGACATCTGGAAGTAGTTGCTGAACTGCTCCCCCCTTCCAAATCCATAGCTTGTTAAGAAATTATAATTATTCTTACACCACATCCTACATATATTTCCAACACTGCAACTGGGAGAGGAAGGAGAAATCAGATACGTAAACCCACTGCGGTTGTGCAGCAGCTGTTTCTGCAGTCATCACAGCAGCAGTACCAACATCAAAGCAGTCCTGTTGAATCTGTTAGGGACCAGCAGAGCAGCTTCAGTATCTTTGGTGTAAACACCTTCCTTTAGCATGACATCAGACCGGGGAGAGACTCGAGAGCCATTTTTCTCACTGTATGATACAGGGCCCATTCTTCCATTGCCAGTTTTATAACGGGATACAGACCACTGAGTTCAAAATAGCTTTGCTAACAATGGTTGGATGCTGTGTCTGAGTGGAACTGAGTGCTAAGAATAAACCAGCAGACTAGACAAGATGTAGAAGCTTACCCATGATATGTGGCATATTAAGCAAGTGCTTCTGTTGCGGATTCATCACTTGCTGCTAGGAAACAGCACCACAACTTTCTTCAGACTGCTGCTTTTGAATGTTCTGCCATGAAAATGGGAGAAATTCCTTGGTCCTTGCACAGTCAACTAACTGGAACAAGCATTCGCAAGGTGGAATAACTAACAACTTTTTCCTTGTCAAGCTGGCAGGAAAACATCCAAAATGAGGGATTTCTTTCCCCCATGACTGGCTGAGAACACCTAGCTTTCTCACAGGAGGCTGCGCCGAATCACTGGTTTTCCTCGGATCCTGTTCCTGCTGGGGAAGGCTGGTGCTGTGCAGCAGGATGAGATGTCCTGACATCTAGATATTTTGATGTAACAGCAAGAAAAGTATTTTCACCTTGCAGTCAAAGAATCCTCGTTTCTTTTTGCTAGCATCTCTGATTTTTTTTTTTTTCTAAATTGTTTATTCATGGTCTAGCCCAGTTTCTTCAGACTCCCTTGAACTTCACTGGGAGTTAATTGAAAATGGAAATAATTTAATTGCCACATCAAATAACAACTCACTGTCCTCAGATGATCTGCATGTGCTTAAATGATTTGAATATGACCGTGCCCCAATTGTTTAAAACTTATGAAAATAACCTTTGAAAACAATCCATTTTTGTATGTGGAAACTAACAAATAGAACCAGTCCCTTGGCTTTTTGGCTTGCTTTCTTCAGTCTTTTGTCTCTAGCTGTTTCCTTTTGCCCTTTCTTTTAGACCCACCTGTGCAGTTTGCAGAAGAAGCTGTACCAATATCAATTTATTGAAAAAAAATGTTTTGCAAGGAGCTAGCTCAGGTGTTTTTATGTGCATGACATAGCTAATTTGTAACTGAATGACCTGCCATGAGTAACTGAGAAGTTGGCTCTATATGAGCTGTTACTCATTTGTTCTTACCCAGGGGAAATAAGCTTCTCTCTCTGGCATATGTCATTTGTAGGAGTCCATAGAAAACGACCATAAAATAGATGATTTTCCAATAGAAAAACACTTCATCTGCTGAGATTATTTAACCTCGGGGCAGAAGAAATGAGTGCTGGCAGTGCTATGAGGATTGAATGAAGATGAGGAAGAGGAATGTGACTGAAGCATTTGTTGTGGAGAATCAAGGGGGTTTTTGGTGTTAGTTTTTTTTTTTTTTTTTTTTTAATACTCACCGTATTAGCATAGAAAATCAGTTTTAGAAAAGCTGAATGTCTAAATGCAGTGATATAGCTGCTAGGGATTGCTTAAGAACAGTTGTTTCCCAAAAGAGTATTTTCTGCAGAAGTCATTCTCTTCTGTGGTGTCAGAGCTGCTAAAATTCTGGTAGAAAATTGAACTTACCATAACAATTTAGGTGTTAAGTCAATTTGGAGGCCAAAAGTGACAAAGAAATTGATACGCATTTTGAAACTTTTCTTTTTAAAATGGATATTAGTACAAGGATCATGTTAGACTTGATACAATCACGTCACTGTCTTGTTTGGATTATTTTACCTTTGATGTTTCTACCAAAATTGCAGGAGCAGAGAAGAGTGTAATTTCTGTTAGGAACCAGTTGTTCTCACTTCTTGGGATACGGACAAATGCTGTCATTTTTATATTGCTCCTGGAATATGCTTCAAGGGAGTCAGTGACTTACATGCACCAAATGTCTAAAGCCTGATTTGTTTTATGTCTTTGTTTGGGTGAAAAGAGGGAATGGAGAATCTCAACGGGGCAGAGATGGAATTAGAGAGGCGGACTGCAGGCCTTCAGTTCCATTGCCCCTATAAGTTTCCTCAGTATGGATTTGGTAAAGGCTGTCTTGAGAGACTACAGTCTTAAAAAATGTAGAATCAGACAAACACTTTGGTTTCTTAACTGTCTCGTGTTGTTTCACAGAGCTGGTGCCTGGTACTTAACATCTATTTTCTTCACACTCAGCATGTAGTGAAGCAGCCGTGCATCCTGCGTGTTACTGACAGCTGTGCCGGTTGGGTGCTTGTAGCCATTCATATCACAAAGCTTCTCCTGGAGAAAGGGCCACAAAGTTCCTGTCTTACAGTAACGATAAAAGGATTCGCTTTCATGAACGCTGCAGTGCTCATTATGCAATATTCTTTCTCACTAAGCATATGCAAATACTTGCGCCAATTGCTTGCTTTCAGCAAGACTAGGTTACCCTAGTGGTTTGCATTAGTAGCTTACAAATGCTGGTAGAGACTTAACTGTTGTACAGCAAGGACGTGACTTTGATACCTTCAGCTATGGCTGTACTGCTTCCATGAAGTGATGTAAGCTGCAAACAACCAAGGTCTTTTGCACTTCCTTCGACTGAGAAGCAAAGCTTGCTGGGGATGGGGCAGCAGAAAATGGCACACCCGGGATAAGCTGTAACATTTCTTTTTCCAGCTCTGTAGTTCAAACATCTTGCATTCTGCTGCCTAAATTGGTCCTAAACACTTTCAGCTCTTTGTAGTTTCTGTGGCCTATTGGTCTTTTTACACAGCTACAGTGAACGGCTGCCTATGAAGGAGAGGATGTACTTTTGGAGGAGAGCTTCAAAAGGCTTTTATTGTGTACACACCGTCTTTGCTGCATTAACGAACTTCAGTTCCTACCTGTACAGTACACACCCTTGTAAGGCAGTATTAAAAAAAGAAACCAAATTATACATTTCAGAAGGGACTGGGAGATCTGAGCGTAAAGGCCCGAGAACTGGAATCAGTTTAAGACTTCTAGTTATATCAATTACTTTAGAAACAGATCTAACTATTTGTTGGTTAACCCTCACTGATGTAACACTCTTTTTAATTTTAAGGCTCACCAGCAAAGCAGAAAAGCAGACCGTTTGTTGGCAGCAGGGAAATATGAAGAAGCAATTTCTTGTCACAAAAAAGCTGCTGGTGAGTAGAAATTTCTCACATTCCAATTTTTAAAATCAGTTTCTGGATTTGCATGTTTCATGGGGGCATCTCGTTACTTGCAAAATATTCTTTTTATTCTTCACATGTGAATTTGTTTTTCAGTCCAGATCAACAATCTTTTTAGAAACATTTTCTCAGATATGAGCAGCTGAAGTCAGACATTTCCAAAGTTGATTTTGCTGGGGGTGGTTATCACTGCTAAGGCAGTTCTTGATTCAAGTCGAAGCCAACACCTTGTGTTGTGTACAAAGTGTAGTTGGGGACCTACTGTAAGCTAGTTTTGCTTTACACTTCCTTTTTTCTTCGCTTCTTTCATGGCTGAAGTAACGTGCTTTCTATTGATAAAGCAAATACGCGAGCTTTTTATGACAAAAGTTTATTTACTTCCCCTTCCTAATGTGTAAGTCAAGACAGCTAATAGCAAGAAATGAGCTCGGCTTCCCTAGAAGCGAAGCAGGACAGCAGAGCACATCCCAGGCCTTGATGCGGTGACTGACAGCCTCTCCGAAGCGAGACTTTGTGCAGCTACCTGTTCATTTAACTAGTCATGCGTAATTATTTGTGGTGGAGTCCCTCAGCTGGCTGACAGTGTGGCAACTGCTTGGCAGAAGAAGAAAGAGGAAATCTTAATTGGTGCAATAAGTAGGACATTTCCAGTGACAGGGCTTGTGTGTAGAAAAAATAAGTGGCTACTCTGAAGATCGTAGCCTAGATACCAGGCATTCTTGCTTTCCATTCATAAATACTAGAAAACCCCATAGAATGAGAAACTGAAAATTGGTATTTATGAGTAGGAAGAGCAATGAGGGATAGCACATATCCTGATATGCAGACTTTTCTTTTTGGTTTCCCTCACTTCCTATACCAAAGCAAAACCAAATAAGGTATTGAATGTTTTTTGTTTTTCTTCAGTTGATGATTCTGTGTCATTATCTTACAACCTGAATTTGGTTAAGAATTTCTTACGTCTTGTCATTTTCAGCTCTAGCAAGATATGGTCAAAGTCCGAAGTCCTGCTCTGCCTCTAAGCCAGCACATTTTCTGGTCTGAAGGGGAAGTTAATGAAAAAAATGGGGAACTACAGACTGTACCTCCTAACCAAGAATATAATTAAAGCATGACTTAATGACACAGGTGCATCATGAGAGAGAGGATTTTACTTACCACATTTTGTTTTAAAATGCATGTATGTTAAGAGTCCGGTCCTTGTCTGTGTTTCTCCCCTTTGTGGGAAAAGTTGTTGTTCTGCGACTTTCTGGAAATGGCTGCCATAACACTAAGCTCCTGATCTTCTCTGAAAAACAAATTGTTCACAGTCTCAGCCAACAGGATGCCATGGCAAGGGTGTAGCATAGACTACATGATCCTACAGTAATTTTTTTTCTGATTTTTAAGAAACAGCAGGTGTTTCCAGCCTCTGTAGTTTGGTAAATACTTTGCGTTTTGACTACTTCTTTTATGTGGGAATTCAGAATATGAACAGCCTGAAGCCTTTTTTTTAACTTTTAAGGAACCATTCACGTCTTATAACCTTGCCTAACACATTTATCAATTTTCTCTTCTGCAGCATACCTTACAGAAGCTATGAAGCTGACCCAGTCAGAGCAGGTGAGACCCAAGTGCAGTGGACACGAGAACTCTGTTGTGTATCTGTGTTATATTGTGCCCTCACTGATCGTATCCCTCTTGTACTCCACGTTGTTTTCTGAGATCCACAGCAACTACACTGGGAGGCTTGGAAGTGCAGAGATGCTAGTCTTCCTTGAAAGTTTTTGCAAGTTTACATGGAGCAGGGATAGGAGAGCTACTAACCCATCCAGGGGTTCCCTGGCAATGGTTTCTAGCCTGTAAGGTGCCTTCAAGTAGGTGATAAAACTAGTTTCATGGGTAACTTTTGCTCTGAAGCACTTAGGCCGTTTTGCTGAGACACAGGAGCTGAGTATTTCATCTACAGTGTGCCAAATGAATCTGCTCTTTCTTGATGTTGGTTACAGATCAGTTAAACTTCTTGTGCGTCTGCTCAGGGGTACTATCACTGTCTGGCTAGTGATTTACACACACAAGAAAGACTAAATGTTAACTCCTGAACAATACCAGCAGTTGTATTAAATTTGGGTGATATATCTGAATCTCTTGCATTGCACAAGCAGAGAGCACTTCTGGTTGGATTTACTGTCTGAATAACAAAGGCTCCTCCTCTCCCTGGGGCATGCTATGATGCTGTTTATGTAAATATTTACAGGCACGTAACTTTACTTGCATGAATATTCAGGTAGATTAAGGATCACCAATTAAATTGTTTAATCTTGTTTTTACTCAGGCTCAGCTATCACTGGAATTACAAAGGGATAGTCACATGAAACAGTTACTGCTCATCCAGGAGAGGTGGAAAAGGGCAAAGAGAGAGGAAAAGCTGAAAGCCCAGCAGAACGCTGACAGAGAAGCAGCTGCACACCTTCAGACTTCTTTTAAGCCACCTGCTGAAGAATCTGATGATCAGAATGTCTTGGTTCCTGTTACTCAGAAATACAGCCCTTCCACAGAGAAACATCTACACGACATTCAGGGTGTCTTTGACAGGGACCCGGATACGCTATTATTTCTGCTTCAGAAAAAAAAGGAGCCAGTAGAAGCGTGTATTGGCAGTAAAGCTCCTAAAGATGACAAAACAATAATAGAAGAGCAGGCAACCAAAATTGCAGATTTGAAACGGCATGTAGAATTTCTTGCAGCTGAAAATGAGAGATTAAGGAGAGAGAATAAGCAGTTAAAAGCAGAAAGAGCTAGACTCCAAAAATCTCCAGTAGAGAAGGAGTTGGATGTCGATGCTGACTTTGTAGAGAAGTCAGAGTTGTGGAGCCTGCAGCAACACTCGGAAACTACTTCTTCAGCTGCAACTTGGCAAAAGTTTGCAACAACTGCGGGGAAGGCAAAGGACATTCCAATACCCAACCTTCCCCCCCTGGACATCCCATCCCCTGAACTCCCTCTGCTGGAACTCTCTGAAGATATACTGAAAGGACTGATGAATAGTTAAAAAACAGGAAAAAAGTGCTCAATGTAGTTACCTAAACTAAGAAAAGGGAAAACCACCAGGACAATGATAACCTGAGGGCAGAAACATCTAACACAATCCTACTGTTGGAGAAAAGGCATTAAGCAACTTTGTTACTGTGAAATACACATCATATCTGATCTACTTCATAAAACTTAAAGGTACCATAATCGGTATAAGATGGCAAGCTCTTTAGTCTTTCTCCCAATGTTTCAAACCAAATGACTGCCTGGAGAATGTTTCATGTAACACAATCCTTCAGGGGTTTAAAGTATGCTATATGTAATAGTTATCTATAATGCCATAAATGATGGTGCAGAACCTAACTGTTATGGTTGCCAGTTGGCTGCCACTTCATATTGAAAAATGCTTTCTAGCATGAATTTAAACTGTGCATTTCATTATGCATAACTTTGTTAATTCAGATACAGTGCAATTTGTACACCTAGATGGATTTATGTGCCACACTCTATACTCCTGGCTAAGTTAACCTCAAATCAGGAGAGATTTAAATTTCCATTCTATGAAGGAACCAGCTTACTAGTTCTGTTGATGAGGTTTTTTTTGGTTATCTGTTTACATAACTAATCAGGGTGCATCAAATCTAGCTATTGGTTTCTGTATAAAGTGACATTGTTTTAAAAAAATCTATACTTAAGGCAAAATACCCTTTTTGTTTTCAGCGATGCATGAATGGAAGTAATTCTAGCTGGCAGTATTTGATTGAACAAGAAATTGTTTACAGCTTAACCTGATTCAAAAAGGATATGAAAATAAAATCCAAGGTGTTTTGACACTAAGCGCGTGTTAAATCTATATGAACAAATTTAGATTTATTCTAATGGTGTTAGTACACAACACTCACCTCAAGTTCTGTGTTCAGCCATCAGCAGATACTGGAAAGCTAGGATGAATTCAGAGGGTCTTGCATGTACATAAAGTGACTTTGCTAATAGCTTGCTTAAATACCTCGAGAGAGGTGACGTCTCAGAGGAAGCAGCACTGTGCATTTGCCCAGAGAGAGGCTCCCCTGGGCTGAAGGAGTCGTGCTGCGAGAGCTGTGCACACCCATGTGGGCTGTTGGTTTCTGTGCCGAACCCAGGCTTTCCTGCCGCAGGGCGTGAGAGTGGCAGCGTGTCCTGGGGGCACGAGTTAGCTCTGGCTGTTACTGATTCATGGAAAGTGTTGAGTGTTGCAAGCTACTCCATTCCAAGTTATTCTTGAGTGTTACAAGGTAAGCTTGCTCTTTCTAAGGGTCCTTTTTTTTTTCCAGAATAGCCTGGAAGTACAGCAAGGACACCTCACTGCTGTGCAAATTCTCCCCATGCCTCTGTATGCCTGGTCTGTCTCCTGTGCTTGCTTGAAGGGAAGTAGGGACTGCAGGCTAGAAAAAGCTATGGAAGCAAAGGTAAGATGAGTTCATTAGAGGAGGTCCCTTGTACTGAATTGTAGCAGGAAACTAGACTTTCCGGGGGGGGTTTGAAAAAAGTTTTTTCTTCCTGTTGGAGCAGTTTAGCAGATGGTCCCACGGCACAGCTGTGGTGAGGTAGCCTGTTCCAGGTCAGCCCCAGCCCGCTGCTCTCTCTAAAGTGCGAGTTACATTCTCTGTCATCTGCCTGGCTAGCTGTTACAGGTGATAAGTCAGGAGAGCAGTGTTCCTATTCTTGTAAGTAACACAAAGAAAATGGGAAGGAAAACGGGAAGGAAATCAAATTATTTAAGCACCTCTCTCATGTCACTGCCAGGGCTGATAGCTACAGACAGACATGGCAGCTCTCTCTGCAAACAGCAGCTCTAGGAGAAAAGGAAGCAAGTTCAAGCCTGGCTACCTACCTCTGCCAAAGAATCAGGAATCTAAACGGGGCAGGGGAGTATCAGGTGCCGCCTCTGGTTCTTTTAGCCACAGCTCTTTGTCCCTTCCTATGAAGCTTTTCCCTTTTGCTGCATAAACAAAACACCAGATCTGAAGAAGGAAGCTACTTCTCTGGAGGAGTATCACCAAGTAGAGGCAAACTCTATGCTGCCACTTCGAAAGTGATGTTGAAACTTTTCTCTCTTGCAATTCAAACATTTGCTTACTCTGTTCTTGCAGTCTGCCCACTAAACGCATGAATGCTGCTGAAAACAAACTTAAGGCAGCATGGTTTAACACTACTGTCAGTTGTGCAGAAACAAGAATGAACCTAATGTTCTCTTTAATGGGATAGGATCTCCTACACTGTGGTTTAAAGTACTGCTAGCATTACATGAGCCATGGGGAAAGCTATTTCTTGTACAGTGCACAGCCCAGCCTAGAGGTGGAGCAGGTGATACCACTGGAGAGTCAGACCATGGCCTAGCGAACAGCTCGAGTGCTCCTGGTGATGAAAGAGCCCTCCCTAGCCCTGCCAGCCTCTTCCTCCCTCCCTTCCACGCAGCAGTGTGGTCAGCCAGCCACAAAGCCTGCCAGGAGAAAGATGTGGGAGCAGATGGGATCATCCCTCCTGGCACCATGGGACGTTTGTAAAAAATATCTTACAGCTAAGAAGCCATGAATAATGACTTTTTACTAAGTGCTTTAAATTCTGGGCAAAAAGCCAAGTGTATGGAATAAGACAGAATGTCAACTTTTCTAAGAAAGGAATGTTTCAATATGTGTTTAGAGCAAAGCAGTCACATGGTCCATTTAAATAATAAGCTATATAGAGAATACTATGAGAGAACAAATTTTAAGGATACATGGTGATAGATCTAAGGAAATTCTCTTCCAGGTCTATCAGCAACTAGTTTATGTCCCAACAATTTAGAACTGTTTGAAATAATGACTGCCTTTCGGCTTGGTTGGGCTGCATTGTGAAATGACAAAAAGCAGCACCCAATTTTCCTTCCCTGCGCCGCTGGGTTAGTTTGCATTACTGTTTACACACCTTCCTCGCAGGGACAGCTGTCTTTTCCTACCACCTCACCAAAAGATGTGGTTTTGAGAGCTGTGCTTGGAGGAGCCACCGCTCAGCTGCAGATGTTCTCTCCTCCAGCCTCTGCTTGTGGGCGCCGCTCGGCTTGCTGGGCGTTTTGTTGCCACCGACTGCCACCTGGTGGCCGCGCGGCGCCTTGCTCGGCTCCTAGTAAGAGAGAGACCCTTCTCGTCTCTTACAGGGTCTTTTCCTTGCTATTACCATTCCCCATTCTTGCTTATTCCCCAGGTCCTTCAAGAATGACGAAAAGATGCAGTATGCGAATACTGTACAGAAAGTAAGAAAAGCAATTTTCATGCACTGTAGCAGCAGCAACAAAGTGGTAAGTTATAAATGGGCATACGCTGCAACCAAAGCCTCTCGCAGTAAGTGGAAAGGTTCCCATGGGCTTTAAATCAGATCTGCATTGTTTTATAGGACATAAAAAATGCTGCGTTCCATTATTTTAAAGTGTCTCACCAAGAACCAATTTTAACATGTGTCCAGACACTGACTTCTATTCATAGACTTTGCTTTACCACAGAAACCTCTCTTGTCTTGGAACACAGAAATATTATCCCTGTTGAATATAGCCAACATATGCTTTGCAAAAAAGAAATTGTAATTACCTGGTCTCTGACTGTATCCCCACAGAACAGGAAACCAAAGAAAGGCAGCTGGGAAGCAATGTAGTCTCCTGGGAATACAATCTGCAGACTGCACCACCAGTTGATACTTAAAATGACAGCTAAAACCAAAATATAGAAGTGTTGGGTTTTACATTTCAGACTTACATAAAGGGAAAATTGGATCTTGTGACCTCTTCCTCTTGAGAGCGTTTTCATTTTCAGGAACTCTCTGGCCATGAACTCCTTCCTACTCTCATGTCAACATCAGCTCTTCACCCATCTGCAATTCCTTTTTACCTGTTTTCAGTGAGTGACAGGGACTGCCCTATCAGAAACCCATACTTGATCTGAGTCATCTAGAAAACTGGTGGCAGCCATATAAATACAACATCTCTTCCAGTCACAGCTTGGAATAAACCCAGATTTATTTCACGTCTATCCTCCGTGTTTTAAGAGAAAAACATATTGAAGGAGAGTTCTTTAAAGATATGAAAACAGGCTAGAAAAATAGGTGACAAAATCCCGTATTTATTAAGACTAAAAATGCTGCAGAAAACAAACAGTAGAACTGTTTAAAAGTAACTAGAGTGGTAACGTGCTACCACAAATCAGGTAAAGCCAGACAATGCTTACCAAAACTTTCTGCCTGAATGCGATGTGAAGTTTAACTGTATTAAAAAAATCATTGCTTTCAAAAGGCTCAGAGCTACAGCCGTCTTTTCCCACACCTCCTTTCTCTCCCATGTTTGTTTTACAATCCAGAAGTAACCTAAACTTACCCAGGCTTTTTCTCCTGTAATCATTTGAAATGTTTCCCCTGGCCTATTTGTTGCAGGAGTTAAGGTATTATTGAGATCAAACAACATAAAATCCTTACAGCTGTAAATATACAGGATTTCCTGCCTTAGAACTACTAAAGCCTCCTCTCTAATTCCACTAAGGAAGCACAGAAATACGATAAAACCACATGCCCTGGGACTGCAAAAAGCAACGGGCATCTGTGTCAAGAATACAGTGTATGGTATGGCTGGAAGGTACCAGGAATGTTCACTTTGATGTGTAACAACAAAAATCCCGTCTACCATTTAGCTTTAGAAAGGTCCATGTTTAAAAAGCAACTGTTTGCAGACAACGCATCAGGTAAAACATATCTTCAATTTGCTCTGAGGCAACATTTTCCTACTAGCTATATATAGATTGTAACTTCCTTTTCAAAACCTAGAAAAACAAATGAAAAAAGTACAGAGGTTAGTTTGTGTGCACGTCTAATGCTACAAATCATTTGCCCCTTGGTCAGAGTTTCCTAGGTCGCCCTGCTGAGATGGAAAGAAAAGGATGTGGCCATGTACGCTGCATCAGAGCAGCCCCCACGCCACTGTGTGCTCCCCTGGCCTCTGGGGGCACACGCATCATGGGAACAAAAAGACAGAGGACAACTGGCACTCCTGCGAACAAAGAGCAAGTCAAAAGGTGGGAAGCAGGAGCACAGTGGAAAGCTGATGGTCTTTGAGGCAGAACTGGGGGGGCTAGGAGGAGAAAGTGTAGCAAAGCCTGAGTGTGAGAGTCTCAACAGGGAGAGGCAGCGTATCCAGTGCGGATGTGGGGGAGAGCACAAACATCCTGCACGGGAAAGCAGCAGAACGGGACATGGTGGCTGTGGAAGGAGGAAGGAAGGGAAATTCCCAGTTAGGGCGCTGGGCGGAGAAGGCTGTCAGTTGTGAGAGCAGGAGAGGGCTTCACAGGATGTCACGGGAGAGGGTACGAACAAAATTACCACCTACCGAGAAGGTCAGAGAGCATGAGAACGTAGCGCTGATCAGATGGAGGTTTGGTTTACACACACAGATCTGAGCAATTTCCGTGAAGCTGCAAGAGTAAACAGATTTTCAAATCAGATTGTTACAACCCCGTATTGTTTGACGTGTAACAGGGCCCAGTTTCACTGCCAGCAATTCCAGTAATCCAGCAACTTCTGTTTGAGCTGAAACATGTACACAGATGTCCATCCGTGCCAAAATAGTTCAGGTCATAGCAGCCCTGCTTTGTTCTTCGCTGATTGCTTACTCTTTGCTTGTGACCTCTGCAGTTACAGTAGGAAGTGCGCCCATTTAACGTACGGCTCTACCCGGGATGGCAACAAGAAGGAGCTGGAAAGGGGCGAGTCAAGGAGGGTGTACGCAGAGAGGAGGATTTGCAGTTCGGATGAGTTTGAAATGTGAACTTTCACAGGACAGGGAAAAATAAAAAAAAAAAAAGAGAAAGGAAGTTTCACAGAGAGCGAAGTAGATCAAGAGAGCTTGTTCTGAATAGGAAGGTGGTAAAAAGACAACATAGTACTTTGTGTTCTTGTTCTAGAAGTTGACAGTGTTCCTGCAAACAGCTGCAGTTGTTATCTTTGAGTGCTTTTGGCAACATTAGAACTGTTCAGACCAGAAAACCTCTTAAAAAGTTTTTGGGAAAGGAAGATGAGAAGAACATACCCAGCAGTGCAGCCTCAGAGAACACAGAAATGGTCAAGAGGAAAAAGCTGATCTGCGAACAACCCCTTACACACGCACAGGCACTTTCAGTCTCAGACATCAGCTATGACAATCTTACTTTGTACCGGCCTTAATGCTAACTCTGCTTGCTGCACTGATTTCCTGTATAGGAGCAGGGAGCTTAACTTCATTGTGAAAGAGCCAGAAACGTTAAGACACTGAATAAACTAAGTTAGGGAAACAAAGTATTTAAGATAACAGAATTTTGGCCTCTTTTACTGGTACTGGGAGTAGTCATTACCTTTAACAGTTTTTGTGGTCTGCTAATGCACGCAGCATGTGACTCACAGTCTCTTTGAGTTGATGGCAGAGGTGCTTTACAGTGCTCCCCGTTGTGCTGTTTGTGCCACGTTTACCTTGTTCACTCGCTCCTGGCTTCTCCTCCCATTAGTTACTGGGGAAACACTGTCGCTGTTGTGGGCAGTTTATAGACATCTCCACACGCAGCACAAAGTCAATTCAGAAAGTGATTTGCAAAATGCATCAGGTGGTTTTTACGCACTGCAAACCATCAGATATACCCATTCACCACATTTTTCAAATTATTTCTGGCATGACCACCCATTGATTTACTTCACATCAACCCTACTAAGCAAATCAAGTAAATAGTTAAACTCTACAGTGACTCTATGAGAAATCCTATTTATGCAGTTAAAACTATTTTTTTTTTTAATCTTATCAACTTATTTTTGCTAAGAAAGCAGCAAAGGTCTACTTACCCCAGTGGCTGTGCAACATGCCATGAAGCTTGATCCCATCAGTTCAGCCTCTCTCCAAAATGAGATTTTTATTTTCAAACCTGTCAATCTCCCTGCCTTTTCTTTGGGAGGATTCTCACTGCTTCTCCACCCATTTCAACCACATTTTCGCAGTATAATGTCTTTACCATATACTTACAGATTCACCAGCAAAGGTGGGAGAAGAACAGGTGGCCACAAAGAACTTGAATAGCCACACGTGGAAGTAACCGTTAGCCTCTGTTTAGCTGCTCACTCAGATCCCAGCTGAGGTAAGTATTTACATCTTCAGCCTCGGAGGCCCAGGTGGGGATGGCTCCCCCACTCCCGAAGTCCCGCAGGGAGGAAGGGGCAGGCTGCAGCTCCCCACAGGGTGAAAGCTCCAGAAGCACTCGGGTGCTCTGCGCTGAGCAGTTCGGGACAGCAAAGCACCTGGGTATGATTAAGAGGTGGAGCAGGAAGCCAGGACAGACACAGTAACTGCTTTCTGTCAGTAGCTGGAGAAACAAATCGATTCCATTCAGCTCCGCTACAAAGAGGAGCCCAGCACAAAGAGCGAGCTGTGATGACAGCCCATGGACCGTGCCCTAACAACTGCGCTTTGTGTGGGGAAAAATAAGTGGGGGGAAGAGAATCTGACCTGCCGGTCTGCAGCAGGAATGCACATTTCGGTGACCTCAAGACACGGCACAGATGTTTCACGTACTGCACCGAAACTCAAAGAAGAAATATTTATACTTGAGATTAAAATTCACTCATTTACACATTCTAAACTTTAAAGGAAGTACAGCAGGCTGGTTCTGTGCTATACACAGGTTAAGTTCATTTGCTGCATGTAACTGGGTATGAACTCGAGCATCAACTGCCAAGCACAGTAACGTTAACGCCAACATTGCAACTTCAAATGAATTAAAACCTGTTCAACAATGAACTTTTGGAGCCCCAAATCATCTTTGTTTCTCTTAAATTACTATCTTAAGGCTGTCTCTTAAGAAGACTCACGAGACTTTTTTTATTTTTTTAATCTATCAGACTTTGTCACTCTCGTGCAACTACTTTTTTTAATCTATCTGACTGTCACCCTCAGAGCAGTAAGTGGGATACTTCCTGTCCCTTTACAGCCAAACAACAAGCTAGCTAATGGCTGCATCTAACACTTAGTACAGAAAACTAAACATTTGGATAGTTTGAATAAATTGAAAAGTTTATGTACAATTTAGCTCTTCAGACAAACCCGAATAGCTTAACAAAATTTATTGTTATTAAATAAAAGCAGACTTTTTTTTTTTTTAAGTCATTATTTTGCTCTATTACTTGAGCTGCAAAAAGCCAAGATGCTATTTTTTTTTTCCTGTAGAAATTCCTTTCCCCCTTCACCCAAAATACGTGTTGGATTATTAAAGACAGAACATAAGCAATGTTTAAATTGTTTTATTCTGAGCGAGGCTCTTTTTGGCTCAGCCATTTGAACTGTGCTCCAGCACTTCCCTTCGCAGTTTTGTTTCAAACCCAGAGAGGGCAGAACGGCGCACATCAACCACGGCAGAACATTTCAAGCGTTACAATAAGCGACACCAAAGCAGAGATGCACTGGCAATTACTGTGAACGAACGACTCGGGCTGTCACAAATATGCCACCAACATGAAAAACAAACACAATGAGACAACATTTGATAAAGTTCTTTTAATGGAAAATGTAAAACCCCTTTCAACTTCAATGTACAAAGCATGTGTAACACTTGCACTTTTAACAAATTAAAGCAAGCCAATGTTTTAAAAAAATACATCATTGAATGTATATATGTATATATTTACATAGCATATTAAGTTTAATATTTAGCTTTAAAAGTTCACATAAATTTTACCAAAATGAGACAATTTTTAAATAAATTACACCTTTTGAAAACGTTTAATTGTACACTGAATAGCTTCAATAAAATACTGAAGTGTCTGTATTTAATATCTACTTTATATACTTTATATTTTACAAAGTTTACAATTATTTGGCAGTAATTTTCAGATTATGACATGACTGCTGTGCGGACTCAGCAAGATCCCAAATGCAGGCAATAGCTGGTGTTTGTGTCCTACTCTCACAGTAACTGTCTCAATGTAGTGAAAAATATCTGAATTATTTTAGCAAACTGTACAAGTCACATTTACATTTGATCAACAATATAGCATAGAATTTTGTGTTTTTTCCAAAAATAAATACATCATCTTAAATCTTTGACATTTCACAAACTTCATGTACATTATGATACAGGACAGCAGAACGCTGCTTCATTGTTTGCAAGTCTAACACGTAATCACAGTGGCTGTGATATGAAGCTCTACCGTTGCAGTGTCATTAGCAAGTAAATACGATGACTATATTTTCTTGGCACTGATGGTTTGTGAAGCTTAAATTAGTGTGCATACTGTTCATATATTAGAAAAAAATAACCTCCATTTGATGTTAACACAAAAAAGCAGAGAGTGCTTAGTTCTCTTCCATATCTTCCATTTCACTTTCATGAATCTTCAGTGCTCTCACCATTTCTTTAACTGCATGATACAAGATATTTTTAACCTGCAAGAACGTCAGACATTTTAGTAAGGCTTACTCCTAAGGAACTCCTAAAAGTAACTACATTTAGGACTAAGCTTAATGGATGTTAAAAAAAAAAAAAAGGAAGGCTGAAGAATCAAGTCAGTGCAAAAGGAAACACCTTTTTACACATTTTAAAACATTATGTGAAATAAATAAATAGAAACAGCAATTCAAGGGAGAGTCATTTACACCCTGGCATTCATGCTGCTGCTCATTGTTATTCTGTGTGAACAGCAGCGAGGAAGTAGCTCCACGCACTGCTCCGCATTTCAATGAGCCCGAGCATGCCCTGCCTTCACAACAGCTTCCAGAGCCGAATTCATTTCCTACCTGCAGTTTATCATCATAATTGATTTCTTCCTTTGACAGCCGCAGCTCCTGCGTTAAATGAAATGACTGTACAAGATGTTCTGGAGACACAAAGTCTTCAGTTACTTGAACGCAGCTGTGAAAATTTTGCACCTATCCAAAATAAAAATAAGAGTGATAATTAGTATTTTGGGGTTGTTCTTTGGCAGAGACACCTGAGAAAAGAATTGGACTTGAGATCTCTAAAACCACATACTTATCAGACTGAAGGATGCCTTTATACATTTTATAGAGAGAGCAATTAAGCCTATTCGACTTAGGTCAGCTGGCTTCTGGTAGGAGACACACATTGAACAGCAACATATTTGTCAGTGCTCTAGCACTTCTTTCCTGCAGTCAGCTCCCACGTTTGTTCAGCATACCCTGATGTGCGATTCCTCCCTTTTACCAGCCATACGGGAACTGCTGCTGTGTAGCACTGCTGTGCAGCCATTTCCAAAACACTGCGCAGGCACCACAGCCTGACTCAGCTGCAGCCCTGCCTGACAGACCCGGCTCCTTGGGCCACTCGGACACGCTGCAAGCTGCCACCAAACTCGGCCAGGCAGAACTTGCCATGCTCACTGACAAGTAATTGCTGGTCAAAATATTTAAAAGGAAAAAAGAAGCTGTGAATAAAGCAGCAGGTTCCCAAAGGACAAAAACGCTTCTTTTCCTTTAATGTTTCCTTTACTGATAAGATGGTGTCCTTTTCTCTCTGCAGGTTCCTCTCCTGCCACCAGGTCATATCTGGAGGGCAAAAACTGCTTCCTGGTTGTGACCTATTGGCTCCTGTTCGTCTTACTCAGAAATAATATTTGTTACCATGATTCACCTTCAAACCTCTACAAATTACAACATTTCTGTGGCATGTCAAAAACCTCCCTTCCCCAAGTTTTAACAGTTGCTCACCAAGTTGTGCAA